AGACTGAGATGAATGTTTTTATAGTTACAAATATCTTTATATGAAATTATTCCATATCATTATATTTAATACAGTTTAATTAAATTGTAATGATTTTTTTACGTTATCTACATAGTATATGCTAAAAAAKATCTCGGTAGGAAATAATTTTAAAACGTTATAGAATATTTATAGTTTTCTCCAGAAAATGTTAAATAATTAATGACGATGTATAATGCAAATAGATTATAATGATATGATGCAGTTTAAATTTATTTCATTTAGATTTAATATTTGTTGAAAATTATTCCTCACCTCCACTCACAATAATTTAACGTTAAATCTTGTTTACTTTGTGTGTGAGTACCAAATGCCACTGATATACAATATTATGATTATTAATAATAAATTATACATTATTAATATTTAAATAGTCAAGTGACTTAATCACTCTTCAATTTCACATTCACAAATTTAAAGAGTCATAATATTATAATATATGATTTTAAATTAATTCTAGTATATCTATATGTTTTAACTCTACTTTTAGTTAACAAAGAATGATCATTTTATAGGAAATAATCAAATAAGTATTATATACTATAACATTATTATCTATTGAAAGTTGAATGGTTTAAAATTAATGTAAATATTTTTTATAGTAAATGTTGAAGCTACTTAATATAACTTAATAACACTCTAAAGCAAGTTTTGAAAAAAATACTTTAGGTACACACCTATAATATTATTTAAAAATAATTTCAATTTTGTATAATTTTTAAAATTTGATTTTTATTGTTTGACTTTCATTTATTATTTTGTTTACAATATAATATATTATTATGAATTAAGATAACATTTATTCAATTTTTATATTTCAAGCCAATAAGGGCGAATTGGTTACCCAATACCATCTCGGCTTGCTCTTTKATGAATGTCTGTAAGCTATTTTCCAAGACTTTCGGGATACGCTGATGGGCGAAATCTCTGATCGTTTCGCAGTTGTTATCATTATGCAACAAAACTGTGAGCCCATTGACGGTGGTCTTTGAGAATTTCTTCGTAATCTCTCCTTGTCCGTTAGGTTTAGTGACTACGATCATGGTTTGCATGTTTTCTATGGCGAATGAAGCTTTTCCATTGTACACGTTTCCGGTGTTGTATTCCAGAGCCCATTCATTGTTGCCTCTCAGGTCGAAAGATGTAAAACAGAAGATCATTTCAGTTTGATCATTGTTGACGGTATAGTTGACCATCTTTTGAATATTGTTGGTGCCGCTCAAGTCGTTAAACACTGTGTTGTAAATCTTGGCCTGCAATGATAATATTAGATTTTACTCCAGACTTCCAGAGATAGCGAACATTACTCTTATAACAAACAAAAGAAGTGCAAGGAAGCTGGAGTTACGTGGTAGGAGTGGTGATAATAAGAGACCAGGAGATTTAGGYGTTAATTTGTAGTAATCTATATACTCCTATATGTTCCTCAACCTTAATCAATAATGAGATTCTCAAATAAAATATTATTTTTAAATTAAGTGCAAGGTATATGATAATATTTCAATAGATATAATATTTTATAAACATTAAATTGCTTTGATTTAAATCACGTAACAATAGCTGTTWAACAAATTAATTTGTTGAGTATGTAGAACGACAAAATCTGCCTATGAGTTGCGATTTTATTAACCCCGATGTGYAGATAGTTTTAATGACGGATATCGTATACTTATGTTTTATTAATTTATTACTCTTATATATTAGTGATAAGTGTTTTCTTACTTGTACTCCGGGAGCAATATAAGCGTTGGTTTTCGGGACAGCCATGGATTTGGTCGGGAATAAGACAGTCGATTTCAGCTCTTGTGCGAGACGCATTGCAATTAGGGGTGCGAAACTGACAGCYATTTCTTCGACGAGACGACCTTTGATCATTTTGTTGAGGTAGTTGTAGTAGTATACGTACGGTTTTTTGAATTGGTCGTTTTCGCTCAACTCGTTTAACACTTCCATGTTGGTGAATGTCGACTCGTGGTGACCGAACTTCAATGATTTGGAGTCGATTTCTGGTCGAGTTTCCATGAATTCGTTTAAAAGGAACCTCATATTGAATTCGATATCTCTAAGT